AGTATCTGACTACAGGCAACTTACTGGCTTCCTCTTCCCCAACTTTTACACTACAGAAGCCAGGTTGGTTATATGCGAGATATACGTCCACCCAAAACATGAGCAATGTTTTCTCCTGCATGGTAACCTAAGGTCGGCAGAGCGGGAGAATTTGAAAGTTCCCAAGTATCCCTCAAGTGACGTAAATTAGAGTCCGACCAACAGACACAACGTGTTGGCAGATACATCTGACTAGAATTAGGGCCCCGATGGTGAGCAGAGTGAAGCGCATCTTATCTCTTGTTTTCAAACTTATTAGAAAAATTGTTACAATAACTCATTCATAGCGTTAGCTGATCATAAGCCATATGAACTACGCAATCACGACTACCTTCTCAAGGTTGTCAACGCAAAACAAACTTTTGGGACTAATTTTTTCGCTAAACGATATTACACTTTGGAAAAAACAACTGAGGTTAGATTCTATGAAAACACGACAGGTTTGAACACATCTTACGAAAAGACATTAACTTGCCCCTCGTTGGTTGTCGGTAAGGTCAGAACCGTTCGTAGGGCGGCGAAACAAAGACAGACCAGTCTTTAATTAGGGCAACTACATGAGTCTCATCTTAGGCGTGGTCCATTTTTCAGTATACCCAGTAGTTAGGACGAATTGACAGAACGTCAGTCCCTGAAGTCAGACTACCCTTACGTAATCTTTAACTGATAATGTTCTACGCCGCAGATCTTCCTCCAATATAACAAGTTTCTTTCCCTGGTAATTCTCAGTAAGTGAACTTAATGTAACTATTTCTGGGAAAACTACCTTAGAGGCAGTACCTTTTAGTTTTATACACAGTATAATACACCCCAACGTTCCACTCAGGATTAAATGCCTCCAGTCAGTAGCCAACCGTTTTCTTATACTCACTTAAAACGAATAATTTCGAAATTCGTTTCCCGACGCCTTCCTTATCACATAAGCAGATGGGTTACTTTGCCATACCTAACGCGTACCATATAAGAGGCAGTCATGAAAATTTAACGGCATAAGTTCTGTCAACGGGTTGCTCTGTGTTGGATGATCCCACCCAGCTCTGTCACTAGTAGTTCCGCTATTAATTCCCCACTGACCAATAGAATGACCTGATCTGCTCCTGTAAAGACTATTTCTATAACTTACACTTTCTAAGACTTTTCATTTCTCAATTCTTATCAACAACTTATTTAAGTGCATATAAACATGTATAAGGATGATAATGCTAAGAATGTCTTGCGTCTGATCGCTTACTGGGATGAATTTGTCATGAAATTCAGTAACATGAGAAGCTAATTGCAATGTATATTACTGGGATAGGCACGGAATAATTCAGTGCGACTGCTACGGCAGTGGCCCTAAGGATCTTAGAAGGATTCCACCCAGTGAATGAGGTTGGAGCGAGACGTTAGTTCCACCTTCAACCGCCGATGGAGGAAATCTATCATAACATTCACATAAGGGTGATATGCTGTAGAGTGGATTCTGTCTGATCCTTGAAACTTCTATAAAGTGTCGAAAAGCTGTAACTCCCATCGGGTTACACTTTTGGCAGCTATTTTTGTAAGCACATTGAATACTGCCGCTTAGCTTTGAATAAAAACTTTTGTTGCTGTTTTCACCATGATATCATAGTGTGACACAGATTTAGGGAATCTCTTGGAAGTGTTAGCGCACGCAAGTATGTCAAAAGACCTAAACAGTTCTAGTGAACATCGACGAAGCGAGCATCTTGCTTGGAGAATGTTCCTAGAGGAAACATAATTTGACTGTTAGCTTTCAATTTTTGACATGTATACATTTTCTATAGTTTGGTTTGTAAGGGTTAGTTATGTTTATACAAGTTGATCACGGATTGATATCAGTTAGAGAACCATTGAAAACCAGGGAGTACTGGACAGCTGCTGTTTCATCCTAGTTTGGGAATCATCGGCAGTATGCACCCACCACAGGGGTTCGAACCCAGGACCTTCCGGTTACAAGGCAAGCTCATATACCATTCAGCCTCTGGGACCCGATTTAATGGCCCATGAATTCTAACTCCTATCAGTTCGTGATTTAGCGCGACCCCAACCATTGTCGTTGGTGGGACATCCATCAACGCACGTGACACTAATTGAACCTCACTGGTCACGACTTCTCACTAGAACTCCAGGAAACTCCATCCTGTAGCGAGTCACTAGTGAGCATCAGATTAATTTTCTATAGTTTGGTTTGTAAGGGTTAGTTATGTTTTTACGAGTTGATCACGGACTGATATCAGTTAGAGAACCATTGTTTCTCCCACGTCTCGACGTCGTGTTGTAGGCCCGGTCAAGCATACCTAGCTGAGATTTGCATAGCCGGTACCCATGCCTCAGAGTGTGACAGAACAGAGTCTGACGAATTTGTATTTTCTCAATTTCAGTGGCAAAAGACCCGGGTGAATGTTTGTTCTCATCCCAGTACATGCAACTGGCATCTACAGGGGGAAGTCTTTGTTGGGAACTGAATTTATCCTCAGCGATGATATACTGAAAGTCCTCGTCGTTTGGTTCTTGGCCAAACCTTTAAGGCCTATAGTGCTATATTGCACTGTATATATGTGCATTCTGGACAGTGTACCAGCCACATGGTTCTCTCCATCATTCACATGTCCCTTACACAGGTAAACTGAGATGTAAAATCATTGTGACAAATTATGAATGCTAAGTATTTGCCTATTTTCACTTTGATCAAGTAAGTGAAAGGCTTATGGTCGGTGTAGATAGTGGATGTTCTGCCATCTACCATGCAACGAAAGTTTCAAACGGCTAGGTAGATTGCCACTAAGCCAAATGTGGGACATCTTGTTTCCGCGGGATTAAGGTACATCCGGCTTCGGCGAAAATGGTGGGTCTGTGTCCGAATATTTTGTGGCTGCAGCCCTCCTAAATGTGTCTTTCATTTGGGCAGAGACACCGGCTGCCCGTTTCGAAAAGAAAAATTCTTCGGCTTTCCCCTCAGTCAGTAAGTTAGAGAATAGATGTAGTGTCTGCAACTAGATGCATAGCTCTTGTGGAAATGAATAAACCCCAGTAAACCTCTGAGTTGAGTGGGCGAAATAGGCCTGTGGGTTTTTAAGCTCTTCCAACGACATGTCTTGGGAACTCTAGTTTTTCAGTCCCGAAGGACGCGCTTTTAAAAATTACCATGACGTTGTTCTCTAGTTTTCGTAACATAGTCTGAATATGGTCTCCATGAGTATGTTCATCCGGACTAGTGATTTGAAGGCCATTTGTATGGGCCTTGGCAAATGGAAGTTTAAGTCACCAGTAAATCTTCAGAGGTTTGTTCAGCACTATGAGAACCAAATGGTGTCTGCATACACTCATACAACCGGAGTAGGTTCATACTGGATGTCTTCCTCAACTACGATTCGTGAAAGGCCTGTTTAAGTGAATACAGTAGCACCGTGGAGACTTTTGGTAAAGTGATGCTTGTGCAGTATCAAGATTTGATCGGAACTGCTTCTACGGGTTCTACAGTTATCACATGGGCGCCAGCGTTGAAGCCCGTAGACTGTTCGAGGGCTGGACGGTCTATGACTTAGCACATGATGGAACACCACTTTCGCTATTTTTAGTCTGTTCGGGGCTAATTTCCTTGGCTTAGCGAAAACTGGGGTTCCATGAGTTTCTGTGGCCCGCGTAATTTTCGGATCAAACGAAGAAGTTTGAGGTTGGTTGTAAAATTTTCTGGTAGTTTCTAGAGCCTTTCAATTGTTGCTTGCGGCGATTGGACCATATTTATTTGGTGGTGATCGCTCAAATTTCTATAAGTATACCTGTATGTTTCTTCAATATTGACCATCGTTTCTGGATGTCCAGTAGCAATTCATACCTTTCCTGGAGGCTTGGGCCAAGGGATGCCAAGTCAACGTCAAAAAAGTGAAAATCCCTGGAGACTGCCGCTAAAAGCAAGTGTCAAACGTCACCGCCTTCTTCTCGAGAGAGTTTGTTGTCACCCACGTCAACGCAAGGAAATTACCGAGGCTAGTTTGCCACTGCACGGAAGAGACAGAGAAGGGAGGGATGGTGGGGGAGTTGCGATATGCATTGGCAGCTACAGTCAAATAGGTTCAGCCACCAATGCAGTACTTACCGAACTCGTGGAGTCAGTCTTTAGTTTCATGACTCTAAGCATTATCAGGTTTCACACTGAAGAGGTAATATCTACCTCCCTATATGAGGAGTAAGGCACAAGCAACAAATGATCGAAAAAATCTATTCGGTACTGATTATGAAGTGAAAACAGGTCACCGTCACTAGAGACTTCCGATTGAGGCTTGCAGAGTGCCACCACAACCAGTGGTCTCTACGAAACTATAAGGATGACGTCACTGGGGGAGAATGCGAACTACTCAAGTTAGACCGTTTTCTAACAAGCACCTGCTTACAGGAAATGTACGAAGGGAGCTTCCAGTAGTCAGTGGTAACCACTAAGTAGTAAATTTAGACCTGGCTATTAAGGAACGGTAAACTGAGGATAACTGTTGTAATGAACACCACTAAGGTAAAGCTTACTGTGAATGAATGAGAAAAGCTGTGGATTCAGCATCTTGGTCAAGAGAGAAACATTCACTAAGTGTGGATGGGCACTAAGATTAGATGAAGAGTCTAGCATAGAATCCAACTATCGATTCCATCCCTATGATAACCGTAGCCTCCCGAATTGGAATAGGACAATATTCCAGGCAAATTTAAAGAGGAAACTGCCACCCAACCTCCATAGTTTTACCGGGTTAATGTATCCAATATCGTTTTTAACGAGCTAGTATAAACCAATTTGATTTCTTTGCGCTCGCCTGTTGATTGTCAGGTATAGGTTCCTGATTAGGGTTCACCGAAAACTTGGAAATGTCTTTCCAAAACATAATATGAACGCTAAGTGATAAACAGGTTCCTTCAATTTTGTCACAAATATACTCAGTGTTAGATTGCATTACTGTTGCTTAAATCCAATTTATCTTGTAGGACGGTCTGACCTTGACGGCGCTTCGAATTTCTTCAAATTTCTCGGAATGAGTCTGTGGGTCGATAAATACACGCCTACATCCTTGGGGAAGCTGGATTACCATAAACAGCAAGCGAAAAATCTGAAACATCTGGTAAATGAGTGAACATATTCTGTATATTATAATCAAAGGTTGATAGTAATAACTTTCCACACTTGCTTGTGTATGGACCATCAGGTGCTGGAAAAAGAACCAGAATAATGTGCATTTTACGTGAACTCTATGGATCAGGTGTTGACAGGCTACGGATGGAACATCATACTTTTACGACACCCTCAAATAAAAAAGTCAATTTGTCAACTGTATCGAGCAATTTTCATTTAGAAGTTAACCCGAGGTACGTTTGCATTTTGATTTATAAGTTCAGTCTGACCGGGAGCTAATGTGTTGAAATAAGCGTGCACAGAGTAAACTGGCTTTGAGACAGGTCCTTTGTCGCAACATAAGAAAATACTAAAAGCTTAAGCAGTTTCATTGATAACCGACCAATTAAAAGACTTCCATTAGTTAGTTCTTGACTTGGCATAAATTTGAAGGGGTTTCATGCAAAGCATAGCCTGAGTCGCGGTTCCCAAATTTAGAGCCACTGAAAGTATCTTGTGCAGCGTGTAAATTGTCTGCTTCCTGAATCCTTTTCTATCGTGAGCAGATTATCAAATTCGTATTGTTCAACAGGGTTGAATGCAGAAAAATCATTCATAGCACGCTTATTTTGGGGGTTCTAGTGATATTTCCTTTTCGAATACTTTTTTTGAATTCGATATGATATAGAAACGATGAATAAGGTGAATTCTGAGAAATGGATTGTTTTTAGATAACGTTGTCTTAACTGCTTCTTAAAACTGGTATGTTTGTTCATGGGCATCGTCGTAAACGGCACCTAATGCATAAGGATTAGTTTCTTCCACTGATGTGTTGCATCGTTCGAATCTGTATTCTGTTAGTGAGAAGTTGTGAGCCACAACTGTTGATTTCCGTAGTTGTGACATTATGTTTTAATGCGATGGCAGGAAAGCTTATCTTGACCTACTCAACATAGTTTTGGCAGTGTATAATAATGAGCTACTTCTATCGATACATGCGATTATGCAACTTACTTAATTCACCTAACGTTCAGTTTGACCTTTTGTTTTTTGTGGGTATCCGAAGAAAAGATTCTTCCTCCTTGAGGCAGAGATAACCGGTGATTGGGTACAGTTTGAGTCGTAAATCTCATCTAAAACCTAGCACGTCACCGGTACCTGCCATCCTTATATCTCTCGATGTACACCACTAGGCTGTCCAGCTCTCTTTGTCCCGACTTTCTCAATCATTTTTAGGTCGTAGCTCATTGTCTCATACAGACTATCTGTGAAGGATTGCTGAAGACCAGCTGGGATTTACTTCAGCAGTTCCCACTAATCTGTCTAGCTCCCTGACTTTTGAATGAACTACTAACGTACTATTTTCACTTACAGTTTCACTAACCTATATGTTTCTAAGGTCAGTTTATTCGAGCAACCTAAACAGTATCATCCATTGCCGTTGTCTATCTATGCCTTTCAGTGCCAGTCACCACCCTTATAATTCTGTGGACCACGTCAACCCATGTTTAAGCCGTGTACGGATCTCACTGTGCCCATAAATTGCAAAAATGATTTTTTTTACCTTCTTAGTTCTTAACAGGTTGATTAAATCCGCTAGCCATATCTAACTGTTTTTTAAGACGTAGAAACAGCGCCCAATCTTATTTTTGCAGTGGATTGGCGTGGATTTATTTACTCCTTTTCATTTTCCAGATTGTGCAAACCTTCATCTAATTATCCTATCTTCCGTACGTCATCCATAGTAGTTTCATTACTTTCTTTTTCTCCACTTTCATTTTTCACTGTGGCGGCTTCAGCTGATGCGCTTTTGTGAACACATGCGACTGTTTGGCTTTTGTTATCAGAGAAGATAGTTTTAGATACAGTTACGTAAATATCACAGAGACAAAGGGCAAAGATTTTATGGATTGGTTAAGCAGAAGGAATCATTGTACTTGATTCAATCACCCTCAGTTAGGAATATCTCTCTTGTCTCACAGCTTTCATGGTATGCGTTCTAGTTTCAAGCCGTATATCACTCTCTTCGGTCTTAGAGACCGGGCATACTTTTTGTAATTCGTCACCTAGAATACACGTAAGTACCAGGTCGAAAGTGTAGGTAATCAAATATGTTTCTTTGGGACAAAACTATTTTTGTGTATAGGTTATCTGCCTCCAAAGCCTCAGGATGGTCGGGTGCCTTGCGCTGCGGGTCGACCACCCCCCGCACACCTCTTGAAATGCTCCCATATGACCGGGCGTCTTACATAGCCTCTCCTGAGGATGTCCTACTCACTGCCTTCACGTGGCGGAGGTGTTTTTCACCAAAGTGAGAGGGCGAAAGCGGATGCCCGGCGCTCTTCACCGGGTTGACTATCCATTGGATGACAGTCTAGGGGAGATGGCTAAACCCTGATTCCAAACCTCCAACGACTGGCGTATGAAGCTCACTGGAGCTCACCGGCAGACGTATGGACAAAGGGCTTGTTGGATGTCCTGGATGCCTGGCCCCATTCAAAAAGGTGTATGAACCGAACTCCGGTCACCGGCTGCCAATGGATAGTGGACTCTCTACTCCACTCCTACTGCCTTGTAGGTCACACTTGGTTGTGTAAAGGCTAGAGCTGCACTCTCAAACAAAAGGCCGAGGGATTCTGGGGACATCACTCGTACAAAATTCCAATGAAACTTCATGAACTCTCTTACAAACGAGGTACAGTCAAGGCTGATATGGAGTGCCTGGGGCTACAAATCGTCTACGGACTCCGTCTGTGGAACAAGAATTGGACAACCCTGTCGCAAAACCTTGCATCAGATCGCCGCGCCTGGGCAGCGATGATTCGAGATGTTCATGAAGCCGGCTCATCCTCTCGTAGGAGATAGCCGAAGTAAAGTAAAAAAAGTAAGTTATCTGATAAAGAGTCCTGTCCTCTGTTAGACCATGAAGCTCTTCTATATGAGAAGTAAAGCACATTCGTATGTTACCGTCTGTTATCTGTCATATTATATCGAAATGACGTAATTTCGATGTCTTCACTTCACAAAGGTGAAATTATTTTCCATCTGAATACCACTGATTTTCTAAGTCACAGTATCACATCTATTTTTGTGTGATTACAATAATTATTTGATTAAATTCAAAATTACATGTGGTTTTCCATTTCAGTGATGTTGGGATCTATGATCGTATTGTCATTCAAGAATTGATAAAAAATATGGCTTCAACAGCTCAGCTTGATAGTGGACAACAGAAAGATTTCAAAATAGTAGTTTTACATGAAGCTGATCATTTAACACGTGATGCACAGCACGCATTAAGAAGAACTATGGAAAAGTACATTTCAACTTGCCGTCTAATCTTGTCAGCAGAATCTACTAGTAAGGTTAGTACTATGTCTAGATATTAGTTTTATTTTCACACTGATGACTTTTCGTTAACCGCTATTATTATTATTATTATCTTGGATGTTATTTATTGCCGTTTTAATCATGTGAACTGTTGTTGCTACAGTAGCTGTAGAAATTAGGATATTAACTCTACACTTTGGGACACATTTACTTTTTATACGCAAGGTAGGAATGTAGGTTCAAGTCTGGTATTTATTCTTACACAGTTAACAGGTGTGTGACTAAAATTGATATGATTATGAGCAATAATTTATGCTCGAAACGTCATCATCCAGTTATTAATACTGAATCTCTTTGTGATATCTGAAATAAAATTATCTAATATGGAGTTACATTCTACCACAGTGTCCAAGTTCTACACTTACATTAAATTTAACAGAGGTTAAAGATCGTTAGGATCGTTCTTGTTGGAAATATTGTTGCGGTATAAAGTTGTAGGTCGTAAATGAAAAATTGCTTAAAGATGTCAAATCAATCCAGATATCGTTAGTCAGAATTGTCGAAATTAGTACATTTGAGACAACGGAACTGATCAATTCCTACGACATTCTTCTACACGTTTAAAATATTTGTAGTCAGTGGGGTATTTGAAAAAGTTAATAATCTTGCGAAATCTTGACACTAATGGAATTTAATAAGTCTAGAAGCCCAGGATCCAATATCTCTTTTACGAGCTAGTATAAACCAATTTGATTTCTTTGTGCTCGCTTCTTGATTGTGAGGTAAAGGTTCCTGATCTTCGGTAAACTTCTGCGTAGTTCGTCCCGCCACTCGACTGTCGTAGCTTTGGTTGACTCCAAAAGGAGTAGTGCTGGGATTAATTATATGTTGTTTGTAGTATGCGGTGTGTTAAAACTTTGTTACTACTGTGAATGGAGTTGATCCTTTCACCAGTTAGTCCTCCGGTATCGTCGTCAAAAGAATAGAGTTAATAATAGTAGATATAATTAGTGTAGGTTATCCAGACTAACAGACAGAAAAAGAAATAAAGAAAACGTAAAAACAGACAGCTAATTAGATTTGAAGTTGATATATATAATATCAGTAATAATAATAATAATAAGTGTGGTAGTTGGAGTTATCAGGCGAATTTATTTGTCTACCCCTGAATGGTGTATGGGATTTTAAGGGGACAAGCCATTTGGACGCAGTCCTTGTGTCGTTGCATGATTATCCAGCCTTCGCTTAAAGGTGTCCACAGACAGTGCCGTAGCTGCATCTGCCTGTAAGGAGTTCCAGGGACAGCAAACTCGCGGTGAAGAGAAGTGGGAGTGCACCCGGGTCCTTGCCCTCCGGTGAGCTATCCTTCTGGGATTTTCACGAGGAAGCCTATACCTACTCAATGGGAGAACAACTTTGTTTGGGTGATTCTGGTCATTTGTTATCTTGTAGGCAGTAATCAAATCCCCCTAAGCTGACGGTAGCTAAGTGTGAATAGGCCTAATTTCTTTAGACTTTCATCACACGGTTCATTTTGGAGACCAACCACTCCTTTTGTCGCCCGTCTTTGGACTCTTTCCAAGAGGTTTGCGTCTCTTCTCAGCAGTGGGGGTGCAATGATATTATGCACTTCAAGGTGTGGTCTGACGTATGTTTTGTAAAACCTTAGAAAGAGCTCAGGAGTGAGTGCACCCAACTGTCTGTGCGTAAAGTGTATGACCACATATGCCCTCGCTACATCTCCCGTGTAATTCACGCTTGTATCCATTTTTTCCGTTAGAACTAGACCTAAGTCACGCTCCGACGTTGTGCAGGACAAGCTTCCGTTGCACAGGGTGTAACTTGCACTCTTCAGCCTACAGGTGCGTAATTTCACTACTTTGCGCTTTTTCAGGTTGAAAGTCATACCACTGGCTCTCGCTCAGTCTTCCAGAAGCTTTAAGTCTGTCTGCAGCCTATCTGAGTCTTCCGAACACTTTATTGCCCTCCATATCTTTACGTCGTCAGCGTATAGAAGAGTCGGGCAGCTCAGACGGCATGGTAAGTCATTGATAAAAATCAAAAACATCAGTGGTCCTAGGATAGAACCCTGCGACACTCCTGATGACGAGCCGTGCCAAGATGATCGAACTCGATTGACCTTAGTGCAGAATTGCCTTTCAGCTAGGTAGTTCTTTAACCATGACAGAAGTGGCTTACCTATACCTGCTTGAGTTATTTTGTGTAAGAGAAGGACGTGGTGAACTGTGTCAAATGCGTTTTCAAAGTTTAGGAAGGACACATGGGCTGGAACATTCATATCCCACCATGATGTTCAATCGTTCCAAGCTGATAGTAGGTCTGTTACATATGATCTACCTTTCCTGAAATCGTGTTGGGCTTCATCGAGGATGCATAAATTATATCCACAAAAATTCTCTCACACTGTAGAATGTATTAACTTTGAGGAATGATTATATATGATACATTTCTTAATTTACTTATGAGTTCAGAACTTACGCTGAATCCAATAAATGGGCTTGGCAGTATTCATTCAACCGTATTTTAGGCTTGTTTAAGAGAGTATTTGGCTTATACTGATTCACTCCAGTTGTCTTTTGATGATGGAATATTGTATAGTCAGATAGTGACTCCGTCTCTTTTTTCCATTCCACTAAATTTATGCTGCTCCGATTTGAGAAAGAAAGTTTAGCAACACAAATTTATTATATTTCGTGTATTTTTTTTAACGGTTTAACTCATATACTATTCAAATGTTACTATTGACTCAAGAAATTACTGTGTAAATAATATGACTTTACATTTAGATAATTTCTGCTACGCGTTCACGGTGCCTGCCAATAAGAGTTTCTGCTCCATCTATCGATGAAATTGTTGAAATTCTTAAGAATACTGCTCGCCGAGAAGGTCTTACAATGCCAGTTGAATTAGCGAAACGTATTGCTGTATCCTCTGACCGAAATCTTCGCCGTGCTCTTTTATACGCTGAAGTAGCTAGATGGCAACATTCTCCTATGACTCCAGACCAGAGTGTACAATTACCTGATTGGCAGGTGTTTATCTCTGAAACAGCTTCCGCTATTTTAGTTGAACAAAGTCCCAAAAAGTGAGTGATTGGTAATAACAGGTGACTGTTCTGAAATGATAGTGACATATCATTATTATATATATATATATATATATATATAATACAATGTTCAACTCTTCGCTTCACAATCTCCTTTACGCATCGTGGCTTTTCGTTTCATTAACAGGTAGAGGTATTAATGCACTTGGTGAATTATTCAAACGAATGGTGTAAAGTAGGAAAAGCAGTTGGAGTAAACCGTTGAGGAATCTTAATTGTTACTGGTTTCTATTAAGATATCCCACTTATTTATGTCTCCTGCCTCCTATTTCATCGGTAATCCTGAATTGACAAACTGGAAATAAGTCTATTCCACTTCTGATGGCACACACTATTATGACACTGTAAACAACCCTCAAGGAAACTTGTACTTGTGACATGGATCTTTTGGTTGTAGAATTTCGTCTTCCTTATAGATATGCAATACTGTTTTGTTATTTGATGAAGTTATGGTTACCTAAATCAGATTGCAGTTAAGTTTTAACGGTACTGGCAGCAAATTTTGCAAATAAGGTCGACTTTACTATCGCATGAAAACAGCCCCACAATTACGACTACTGGCTGTGTCATGAAACTAGCATCTCTTTGCGTAAGGCTGATCAGAAACTTCCGGACATTCTACCTTCTGTGTTCCACTGTCATCTAGTAATTTCTATGTACTACAGTACAGGTTTTCAATAGGCGTCTGGTTATCTATGATCCAGTGGCCTGTTTTTCTTTAGAACACAGGAGTTCACATAACTTTCAGTAATTTTTCCGCATATTATCACTGGTCATATATCCGGTGGTGACAAGCAGTGAAATATACAAGACATACCCTCAATCTTACCTGTTTCTCGTCCGATACATCTGTTTGCATCACAGCGTATTCTTGTCAAGACTTAAAATCGCTACCCCGCTTTTTCATTCACTATCTAGACTACTGAGTCACGATAATAATGAATACTTTTCAAATTTTCCTTACAGAATATTAGAAGTCCGAAATCGATTGTATGAATTATTGTGTCATTGCATTCCACCGAATGTGATAATGCGAGTAAGTTATATGAATGATGAGTGATTTTCGTGTGAATAAATAAATGATGCGCTTTTATTTGTGTAAATTAATACTCGATGTGAATTCACAAGTTTCTTGATAAGTTAAGTAATACGTTTTATTAAGTGTTAAATTTATACTCATGACGCTGCGTACTACTGATTGTTTGATATAAGTAGTTGAATACCACTCACATTGACCAGTAGTGTTAGTTAACCAAATCGAAGTGATCTGAACATTGAACAGCCGTTCCCGTGGTTTGGGGCTGAGATCATCAGTGGTGTGTCCAGTCTGACTCACTTTTTCGACAGGTAACTGGTGAGATTCCACCTCGAACTGTGTAAATTGCAAGTCGCTGATTAGTTTGCAAATTGAGAATTTGATTAAATTTATATTTACTGAGAAAAATTGTAGGCTTTCCTACAAACAATGTTTCTATGAAATGAACATGTCATTCACGTGATAGGGAAGGTTTCTTGCTGACTCAACAACAAGGTGCATTTATCTTTCAAACAATAGGGATTTTGTTCGTGAAAATTGCTGGTTATGTCTGCAGAGAGCTTCATGGTGTATCTGGGATCAGAAAAATACTGACTTGTAACTCTTGGCTTTAATCCCAGCCAACATCCTAATTTTCTGGGTTCACTCAGTTGGTGTACATCGTTATTTAATTCCCAAACATGTATATGGCTTCTAAGCTGTGTTAATGGTGCGTCGTTGGCATAGCGGTTAGGACGCTCGCCGACCATGCACATGGTCCGGGGTTCGATCCCCGGCCGGCGCACTCCTTTACCTTGTTAAGCCAGAACTGAAGCTGGTGAAGAGGAAAGGTTAGGCATGAGGCAAGCAACCTCATCCGGTAAAAATAAAAACTGCTACAGAAACTTCAAGCCTCTAGCTTGAAGCCCTATGTTCCACTGGGAACGTGAAGGAATATAAAAAAAGCTGTGTTAATTAATTAGTTTTATAGACGTGAAGTGTTGAATATGGGACAAAAAGCCTAGAAATATTGAAGATAGTACACATTTGGTAACAAGAGGAGAGGTGATGAGAAGATACCTAATGACAAGAAGGAGTGAATAGGTTACTTATGTGTGATGACAATGGATACTATGGAATATGCTAAACAAAGTCTTCAAAAGGAAGCATGGAATACTCTTTTACATCACTATCTGAGGAACTATGTTTTATGACGCCTGTTGTATTACTGTGATTACTTAATATTTACATCCTAATTGATTGTGCAATCACAGTATTTCCAAAGTATTCAGTTTCTACACATTTTACGGCGAATTCCCAACTGTAACTAGAATGCATTTTCATAATCGAATAGAGTGATGTGGAATTTTATTATGTATACCTCAGTTGTACATGGGGAACGTCTTTTTACCTAGTATTTTGCTGGCAATAAATCTAATGTGAGTTGTACTTCACCTTAAACTCACTAAATTGAACTAGACATTACTGTCAAACATCGCCTCTCTCGACGGGCTATGTTAGCTGAAATAGGATGGATCAGGTTGAAAAGGAGCTAGTGGTGGTCAAACTAAAACATGGCTTCATCAGTCAGTGAAACTCACAACAGTTAGTTTAAGCCAACCACGTAGGGTGACGTAGACGTTCTGATTGGGGTCCTCGAAATGGAAAAATCTAATGGCTGGAGACAGCTGGTGATATGGCTTAAAATCGTTTTCAGTGACGCAGATGCATCTACTCTTCGTAATTTGTAATATCCAGTAAAATTCTATTGTTGTTTCATATTACTATTCTATTTACCTTATATTTCTTTTTATTATATCTTTCTCTTTTGAATCTCCCTTTACTCTCTTCTCTTGCTCTGAGTGCTACATAGAGTGTGGCAACTCGAACTGCTGCACATCAATGCGAAGTTCCACGTTGAAACCAGTCATGACTGTTAAACTTAGTTATATTTACAGTAGCTACTGAAATCCATTCAAGTAGTAATTTTAGAGGGTTGGAAATTTCATTGACTTGGTTGGATCACTGCTAATTTTTGTAATGCTATTAGTTCTTCGTGGGAGTAACACACGTCAAAGTCACTTAGCTGTAAAATTCAAAAGTGGATTTATTTAGGGATACCAATCATTGGATAAAAATTTATGGTGTGAAAACCAGTTACACCAGTTAGTTGTTCTGTCTAGCTGATACAAAGCGTTCTCTTCATTCATTTTACGAGGATCAAATCTATTTAGTTTGGTTCGAAACGAGCACAAGAAATAGAGAAAGTAATTACACAGGATTTAACATTACTGAGTAACAGTCCAAGTTGTTGCACTCTAGACAAGCATTACGTTGTTTGACATTGGAGTGATTTTTGGTCATCAAAATTGTCTCTGTCATCCTTTATGGCTGTAAGGCAAGGCCGTCGAAAGTGGAAGACATGAAAAGCTTAGCTATCTTTGATCATAAGTGTCAGCGTTCTATCATTCGTGTTACATGATATAATAGGGAGAGTAATATTGAGGTTAGGCGTCGAATGTTAGACAGGAAGTGGAAGTCAGTAGGTGAGGTTGTGAAGCTACACCAGTTGAGATGGCTAGGACACGTGTTACGCATCCCAAACCACCTTATTCCTCGACGAGCAATGTTAGCTGACATAGGATTATGTTGGAAAAGAGTAAGAAGTGGTTAAACCAAAACCTGCCGTCAGTCCATAAGGTCTTTGACGGTTAGTTTGAACTGCGTAGGAAGGTATAGGCTGCCTGGCTGGGGTCCTTGGGATTCTAAGAACCAGCAGCTGGATACTATTGGTGATATGCCTCGAAATCGTTCTCAGTGGCTCAGGTGAATTCACTCTCTGTGATCTCCCGTATCCATTAGACCCTAATGCTTCCCCGTACATTTCTGCTCATTATAGTTCTTTTGCATCTGTTTTTCTCTCTCTCTTTGTGTACTACATTGGATGCAGTAACTTGAATTGCTGCACTTCTGTGCGAAGCTCTATGTGTAAGATCAGTCAGTCAGCCCATTGGTCAAGTGAAGCACACCCTGTTATTGTTTGTCATGCATTGGCGATGGTGAACCTACACAATATCGATAAACCAATTCAAACCTAATCTTTTAATTTTTTCTTTATGGGTTTTTTTCTTTTATCATATGACATTTTATAGCTTGGAATAATATGATTTTGTATTTCTTTGTCTTCCTGCTTGTTGTCATCTACTTGTTGTTAAGACAGTTAATCAGTAATCACCATTACCGCTAAAGAATTGGACATATATTCATGAGATAAAATAGTGTGCAATCTTTGTTTGTATAGTCGTAGTTGGAATCCATGAAATGTCTTTTGTCCTGTTTGCGACTTATCATCTGCTATATGTGCCTGCATCCTGGTTAGGAATGGTATTCCGACTGAGAATCCACTATAGTACCTATCATTTCAAACGCCAACACGATGCCCGGTAGGCTACTGAGTCACTACAATCCCAACTACTGTGCAACTGGTGTTATATTATTGTTATTCCCTTGTGTTCAGAGTGGAACATAGGGTTTCAACAGTACATCACCATTTCACTCTGTTGCCAACAGTCCTTTTTAGCTGAACACGATTGCCAATAGGCATTCATCTCCTTCATGTTACTCTCGGACCCACACCTGATCGTACCACTTAGGTTTCTTTTGAGCGTGGTGTCGTCATTCAACGGTCTCTTCAGTGTGTGTCCAATCCATCTCCATTTCCTTCTACATATTTATTGGGCGATAGATTCTTGACTAGTTCGTTGCCAAGGTTCCTTGATACTAATCATTTCTGGACATCTAATCTTCAGTATGGAGTCATCGAAGGCAGGTGTTGATAAAAGTCTGCGTTGATTAGTTGGGACGCGCAGTGCAAGTCTGAACCATATAGAAGCATTAACTTCACATTAATGCTGACAATCTGAATCTTTTCGTATTTTTTTTAAAAATTCCTTTACGTTCCCAGTGGAACATAGGGCTCCAAGCTAGAGGCTTGAAGATTCAGTAGCAGTGGTGTTTTATTTTTACGGTATGGAGTTGCTAGCCTCATGCCCAACCTCCCCTCTTTACTAGTCTTATTACTGGCTTACCGAGGTAAAGGAGTGCGTTGGTGGCCGGGGATCGAACCCCGGACCACCTGCGTGGTTGGCGATCATTCTTCCGCTGTCCAACCGACGTTTATTGATGTTATTTTGAATTTTTCCGTTGATTGGTTCTAGTGGTCTATGTTATAACACATCTGCCCCTAGATACAGACGCTTTGATGATGTCTTGAGGTTAACAAGATATTTTCCTAGTTAACAGCAGCTAAGGATTTCGGTTGAATATAATCAATCAATGGGAAATTCAAAATCATTTTTGAAAATGTTTTTTTGGTTTTACCTGTTTCAACTGTGATTTCCAATGAACTGTACTTGAATATACAGCTTAATGTAAACCCACCAGTTTCAGACCATATTATTTGTACATCATATTCCTAAACGTGCAAAATAACCTATAACTAATGAGACACTATCATCAACGGGAGAAATCTAAAGGAAGTTATCATCTTCACTTATCTAGGAAGCATTGTTTCAACTACAAGAGGCAGGGATGACAGTGTTAAAGTCGGGCAGGATCAGAAAGGCACAGACAGACCAGACTTTCATCAATCTGAAATCGTTGTTGAAATCTACTGCACTCAGCATGAGAAACAAAATTCGGATTTTCAACACTTATGTGAAATCAGTGTTTCTATATTATAGTTCAAAGACTTGAACTGCATTTCACCAAAAGAATTTCCAGTGGACTGTAAACTTTTATCACCAGTTGCCTTCTTTGCCTCCATATTTGAAGATCAGATAGCCTGTTGGAAAAGATCAGCAAGCAACAAATAGATCTGGGAATGAACCAATGAAGAACATATAGCCGTACAAGTATACAGAAGGAAACGGAGATCGGTTGGGTACACGCTAAGAAGCCCATTGATTGACAGTATTACACGCAAAGCAAACCCTCGAGTGGAACTTGATTGGGAAATGATAAGTTGGGCGGGAATACTAGGGTGACATGGTGGAGATAAGGGTTTGTAGGCAGTTGTGGACGACTGTAGAGAACAAGATGCAACGGAAATGTGTTGTTGAAGACCTATAATTCACAGTGGGAACCCAAGGGAATAATAAGTAGTAATAATATATAAATGACACATTAGATGTGTTAATAACTAAATCTTTGAGAATGTCGTTTAGTTGTACAAGTTTTCTAGTGATATTTTAGCCTTTCTCTTGTATATAACAGCTAATTAGGTGTATATGTGTGTATTTGTGTTGACTGTCTGCTGAGTAAGCGAGTGAGTGAGTGAGTAAGTAAGTACAAAATCAGTTTTATTACTAGTGTTGTTTTTTCCCACTCATTCATTTCACTTTTCCTTTGTCGGCATATTGTTTATTTTGATAACTGCTTAAGTGTGAAAGAAATCTACTAAACGTGATATGCATTCCTTTTAATTAGCACCTTAAGTGATAATTGTACATCTTTTTTTCTCTCCAAAAAGATGAATAAAATGTTTTACTTCTCTAGCTAAATCTAAGTCCTACCAAAAACGCATATTAAAGGGAATTTTTAATATTTTCTAAGTCTTCTAGATAACCATTAATTGCTTTTTGCATGTGTGCGTATGTGTGAGTGCGTGGGTGGGTGGGTGGTTGAGTAGGTACGTTTAGGAAGAAGGCATTCACTTCCCGTACTGAAAGTATTGTATATGATGAAAGTGGAAATATATGTGTTAAATATCTGTGACGGAGATTGCGATGATGATAGTACTGCCGTCTTCCCCCCCCCCCACCTGCTTTTTGTGTGAATCCATCTTCTTTTGTTTTTCTTATTAAAAATTCATAATAAAGATAATATTGATATTATTAGCAAAAGAGAAAAGAATTACTTAATGTTGTCTATACTGTTTTGTATGAAAGTAGCTCTTACCATTGGGGATTACTTTTCCGCTCTTTCACATTACTTTCATTATGATCACTATTGTTAATGCAAATGCCTGCCTATTTACCTTTTTTTGATGTTTCACTTATAGTGTTAATTAGAATTTTTAAATCTTTTTTCTTATTGATTGTCTAACACCTCCTATATTTCATTTGATGTCTGTTTAGTCATGGGAACTGAATTTTTACAGCTTTTGAGAGGATTTCAACATTGACTTAACAGTTAGTTGGCGGGTGACTAACTGACTGGTTTCAACATACAACTTTCCACAGATGTGCAGTAGTTCCAGCAGTTCTCTATATTTCATTCAGCATGCAAAGTCAGAGAAGAAGAAGAAGAAAGTAAAAGGAAATGCAAAATACAAAATACAAACAGTAAAGAGACATATGAGGCAAAAGGAATAGTAATATCGAAGAACAAAATAGTTTCACTGGGTATTATAAGTCACAAGGAGTGAATGCATCTACGCCATTGATAACGAGGATTTTGAGTCATATCACCAATTGTCTCCAGCCTTGATTAGTGTTTACCGTCCCGAAGACCCTAATCAGGAAGTCTACACCTTCCTACGTGGCTTAAACTAACTGTTGTGGATTTCATTGACTGATGTTTCGGTTTGACCACCAGTGGCTCTTTTCCAAACTGACCCTATGTCAGCTAACATTGCTCGTCGAGGAAGGCGATGGTAGTCATGCATGCGTAACACATGTCCTAACCATCTCAGTCGATGTAACTTCACAGCCTCATCTATTGATTTCCCCTTTTTACCTAGCACTCGACGCCTAACCTCAATATTGCTTACCCTATTATACCACTTTACACAGGAGATAGAACGCAGGTACCTATGATTAAAGACAGCTAGCTGGGCTTTTCTTGTCTTCGACTCTCAATGACCAGGTCTCTTAGCCATAGAGGAGGATGGAGCGGACTGCTGAGCAGTACGCACGTCCTTTAGTTGATAGCCAGATATCACGTCTACGCCAGTTACGGCGTAAACTGGCATATGCGAAACTAGCCCTCTGTATCCGTGCTGAGATTTCGTCAGCGATCAACCCGTTGGGGCTGATGCAACTTCCCAAATAAGTGAAGTGGTCAACACGCTCCACCAACCACTTCACTCCCTATTTCTAAGCTAGGAGTCAATGTAGTCCAGTCCATTTGGCGGAAGTGAAAAGCATGCCGAACATTCTCAGATTGCAGCTCAATGTGTTCAGAAGACTCTGCATTTTGTCAGCGTCTTCATCTAGAAGGACTATAGTTGGTGGATGATGACTAGCAGTGGAATCTAGGTTAATACCCGCATTCCCAGTGAGTGATGGTGTTCCGCTTGAGACTCGAACCCTAAGGCCATCGTTTCAAACGCTGAAACATTGTCCACTAGACAGTGAGGGCCTCGAATCTTAACAGGAACACCATCACTTACTGGGAATGAAGGTACGTCCGGATGACGAGTCCCAAATAGAACGATATGCTAATCTTGGATTCCACTGTCAGTCATCATCAACCAAAATAACTTCACGTTAATCCTTAGACATCATCAAAGCGTCTGTAATAGGAGCTAACATATCAACAGAAACCGAGCATTTCGATTCAACATAATTAATCAACGCGTAATGTAAGTTAACTTTCTCTAGTAAATCATAAAATACTCAATAAACGCTATACATATATATATATATATTTCTCCTTAATATGGATAGTGTACATCCACTGCACTGTGTCTAGTTCCCGACCGATAAGCTGCTATCTTGACGGGGTGGTTGGGCTTGCACATCGCGATAACCTAACAGGTACAATGGCTAGAACTAATGTTCCTGCAGGTCCTACCATTCCAGAAAGGTTGTTTGGATAGCCGTTAGATTAAAAGCAGTTATCATCACAGTGTAACTTGTTTACACTATGCCGGGGATGTGTGTAGGCGAAGTTGTTCTGCTGGCAATAAGGGGTGTCACAACAGTAAGGTGTATCCTTCAGATGGTCAGCAAGCCACCTATGCCGCCTCTATGCTCTGGAGAGGGATGGGGTTAGGAGAAGAATGAACCTACCGTGGTCAGAAGTCAGTGCTAAGGTCTTCATACGGATGCAGCTCCACAATTCACTTCAAACTGGCCTTATGTGATTGGCATGAAGCAGTTGTCTCCTGAACTGTGCTCCTTCTGCTGTAGATACCCCAAGAAGAAGTCAGTCAGCGTCTAATTGATAGCGAATATAATTCTGTGGAGTTTTTCAGCTAACTTTAGGTATTCATATTAATTTATACCATATTTATAAATATTTGTTACTTTACATTTTTTTTAAAAAAATCAGGGTTTAGTAGATAATCTGTTGAGTTCATGTGATCGTAATTTGAAGCTGGAATTGGTTCAATTGGCTGCAGAATATGAGCATCGATTAAATTTAGGCCAAAAACCAATCTTTCATTTGGAAGCATTTGTCATCGCTTTTATGGCAATGTATAAACGATATGTTGAAGAGGCTCTTGGCTCTGGTATGGAATGGTGAAGAACATAAAGAAGAATAAGAGCAAAAGAACTACCATACACAGCATTTGTTGGAGATTTCTAAGATATTTTTTTGGTGTTGTTAACTATTTCAAAGAGTTTCAATAATTGAATAAACGTTATTTTGTATTTTCTCGTGTGTTGATATTTCAGTTGTATACGGACGGGGGTTAGAGTTTCGCAGTTGTTATTTGTGCTGTGCGAAAAGGCTGTTTGTATTTTAATTGGTGGATGGTGACTAGCAGTGGAATCCAGGATGCGCATTTCGTCCTATTTTGGACTCGTCTTCTGGAAGTACCTGCATTTCTCAGTGAGTGATGTGTTCCCACCGAGGCTCGAATCCAGTGCCCATAGTTTCAAACGCCAAAGCGTTATCCACTAGACCACTTGGGCCACGAGAGCCACCTCTTGTGCAACGGGTCATATTAATTATTTAATTGAATTTTAGATTTTCCCGTCGATTTATTGGACCGAAGTGCTCGGTCTCAGGTTGACACTGGGTTCGAGCCTCGGTGGGAACATCATCACTCACTGAGAAGTGCAGGTACATCCAGATGACGAGTCCCAAATAGGACAAAATGCGCATCCTGTATTCCACTGTTAGTCACCATCCACCAATTAAATGCCCAGTCATTGTCGAAGCATCTGCTCAAGAAGCCGACATGTCAACCTGAGACCGAGCACTTCGGTCCAATCAATCGACGGAAAAATCTAAAATTCTGTTTGTATTTTGTTTCTGGGTCTTTAAAAGTACTCAGTGTAGGTTTATATAGGCTTACTGTTGAAGATACATCACTTACAAATATGCGAATTTCCTGGAATAATTTGAGCGCTGAGTCAGATTAAATCACTAAAAAATTATTTCAGGTAATCCCAGCGTGTTTAGAAAATAAAAACTAGACTTTTCTGAACGTTCCGTTGTGTAAGTCACAGATTCTTCAGCAGAATTACTCGGACTTGATTAAGTATCAAAATATGCAGCAATCAAAATATAGTAGTGAATAATCTTTTCTATCTGTTTTGCTTCAATAAGGCTTTCCATATAAGTGATAAGTCTATCTCGTCTCTCCTATTTATCGTATTCGATGTGGTTAAAATATGCAAGATTTTAGTGGCCAGCCTTTCACTTATGTGAATGAAAGCCTTTTTGATGTAGTTGTGTTCTCTGAGCTGTATGGTTTACTTGCGAAGCTTTCGTTGCCTTACTGGGAAACATCTTCAGCGTATACTTCAATTTGAAGTGAGTTTTTAGATTTCTCCACGAGTTTGTTAGCCATTTCTCTTGGTGACCTTGGACGTGATTGATTCCCAGATTTAAAGTTGCTTTTACGTCTCTGTTCTTGGAATTCTTAGTGGAAAGAATTTCCAATTCTAACATCGAATGAGATCTGAGGTGCGGGTTGGACATTTTTATTATCGAACTATCGTTTCAGCCTTAGATTGCTCATATTTACGACTGTAGTTAACTAATTATACAACAATTAGATTTGTTCTCAGCGTCATATTTGTGAGTTACCTATCTCTATCAGTTAACAGTCATTTGAAATTGCATGCGGTTGGCGATGAGCTACATGCATTGTGTGGGGGCTAGCGAACTACCTAGTGGCTGAAACTTCTGCAGGTGGGGCGAGGTTCAAACCCATGACCCCATGTGCGTTGGTGGCACAGTGGTTAGGACTCTCGCCGACCATGCACATGGTCCAGGGTTCGATTCCCTGCTGACGCACACCTGATATCTATGGTCGGCCCGCAAAATTTGGGCTACTGAAATCACATGCTGAAAATTCTACACCTGTAACGAAAAATACGGTGTGGAATCAAGCTGTAATAAAAAAAAATCAGTTGGAAGTTGAGCGCCTAGACCAATGAGATACAGCTTCGCGTATTTGTGAGACAAATGAGGGAAACGGAAAGCTTTGATTGGAAATGATTTAACCATGTTATAATGGTTAAATAAAATTTCGGGAATAGTTCAGCTCACTAGTTGGTTCGTCTGTCTGCTATGACAATAAAACGTTGTCCAGCTACACTTGCAATATGAACCAATAAGGTACTTTGATCGGACACTAGTTAGTAACTAGTGTAATGTGTCTAGTCCTATCTTTGGTACAGACTGAATTCTATAGGTCATGTTTGCAACGTGGCCATCATTCTAGGTGGCTCGCCATCACGGTACATTTTGAATTGTTGATATTGGGTGGTCAGAGGCAATCGGCACGCGGTGATGCGGTTTCGAATCTCAGAAGGGACATGAGTTCTTTCAAGGTTGCAGATGCACCTCGGTGAGTACCAGCAAGCGCGAAACCTAATTCCAAGGCTTCCTGCTTATTGCCTCCAACCATCTAAGGACCAATAAGGTGAATACCTTTGGCTTATACTAACAGTCGGTAGTAATCTCTCCACCGATATCTGCTACCTTGACGTGGTGGTAGGGCTTGCATATGGCAATGGCCCACCTAGCTGCAACGACTAGAAGTAATGCTCCTGAAGGTCCTACCGTACCAGAAAGACTTAGGATGGTGGTTAGACCTAAAACAGTTACTGTCAAAGTGCAAGTAGCGTATGCTTTATTGGGGGTCTGTGGGCGATGTCCTACTGCTGGTGAATGTGGATGTAGCAGCAGTGAGAGAAGGGGTTAGAAAGGGCCTACCCCTAAAAATTGTACGTCTTGACTTTCCACGCTGCTATCTGTAGCCGTTGATAAGATCTTATCACAGACACAACTCCAAAAATCACTTCAAACAGGCTGTGTCTGACCGGCCTACGGCAGTTGCCCTGTGGGGTCTGCGGTCATGCAGCACTAATGGTCCTTCTGTTTCAAGTACCTCATGGTACAGACAGCCGGGAAGCAACAAATACTCATAAACTTCGACGAACACAAAGCTTTCCTGACTATAAGTTAACTAAATAGCAATCTATATAATCGTATACCGTTGAATTGATTGTTTTTACTCAAGTGATAGCATACACTGTGGTTTCTAATTCATAGTAAGCCCATTTTCATGAAATGTACTCTTATTTGTATTCGTGACGATCTGGAATGAATCTGTTTGGAACTGAATTAAGAATAGAAAGTAAAAAGCATCATTTATGTTAATAGTGATCAACTTATCCAGTGCACAAGTGACATATTTAACGATTCTGTTTCACTGTATAGTTTCTTAGGTAGAAACGTTGGTGTTGTGATCAAACTTTCTGTGAATATGAACATTTAATCTTCATAAACTTGTATCTATTGAAGGCGAATAAGAGTATCTTAATATTTCCACGTTTATACTGTGTTTATCAGTTTGTTTAAATGAAGTCTTAAAAATTGGAAATAGATATCTGTTCTTGTTTACTTGTCGTGTACTGTATTTCCTATATGCAATGTTTAATATTACTGCAAAATCTTGAATCCTGTTTCCTGTACATTCTTATATACATTCATTTAATAACGTTACATTTACCCTGTTTGAATAGGAATGCAAACTTTCATGAGTTTATGTGAGGTTATTTATATTCAGCAGCCTTTTTATCTGTTTATCTGCTTCAGAGAGGATTAGTTTGGCTTCTGGCTTGATCACGGATTGATATCAGTTAGAGAACCATTGAAAACCAGGGTGTACATGACGGATGTCTGGTCTCACTTTGGGACTCTTCACCGGTATGCACCATGACCCCAGCTAAGATTGCGAATTGACAGAAATTAGAATTTATTGTCAATTGGGTTGCATCCAGGTGGCTGAATGGTCAACGAACTCGCCTCGTAACCTGAAAGTTCAGTGTCCGATCCCCGGTGGGGTCGTGGGTGAGTAATGATGGAGAGTCGCAAACTAGGATTGAATATTGTATGTTTCTCTTGATTACCACTGATTTACTACCCATGTACTGATTTCCCAGTTTCTCTAATTTGAAAAGTCACCATTTTAGGGTAACACAATTTGTAAATGTTAGATTTTAAGAAGTCAAAATACAGAAGTTACGATAAGTGTGATTCAAATGGGATCCAAGTAACTGGCTAGCTAATGGCTCACGATTTCCGATGTTGTTATGACCATTTATATTTCTGGAGTGTGTGTATGTGTCGCCATAGCGGTTTACTGTTTTCGAAGTGGGTTTGTTGTGTTTCGCTTGATAGATTGTTGGAAACGGCCTTGTTGAAATGCTACACATCGGTTCATAAATAGTATCCAAATCTTAGCAATTTTTAATTTCCTCATCTGAATGGCATATATCCAAAACTCTTTCTGTTGCTTCTCAGTGCTTTTTGAGATTTTGAAAAATTTCATCGTCAAAGATTTCAGGTTAACTCATGAGCAGTGAAATGAGTGATTTCATGTCGTAACACTTTATTTCTGTTCTGTACGCTTGTTCATGGTGTTCGATTGGCAGCCTGACTGCCCACCATAGTGACCACTGCAGTTCTGATATATGATTCTGTAAATTACATTTGACCTTTCTTCCTGTGGAATTGGGTATTTTTGATGTTGCACAAGTAATTTCATAGAGTCTTCTTTGATTTATGGGATATATGAGTCCCACCAATCTACAGTAGTGTACCTGCCGCTGAGATGAATTTTAATGTATGTAAGGACAGTTTTTGTGTCAGTTGTTATTAACCGTTGACTTGGTAAGTACTTTCTTGTGGGGCTGTCCATTTATAGTCAGTGTAGTGAATAACAGAAGGTTAACAATTTGAACCTGACGAAATTATCCGTTTTCGATGTTGGTTGAATGTCACTGCTTTTGCAATAGATTTTTAACGGTAAAAACATATAAATGCATTTGAACAGCAAGTAAAATCAATTAGCTGAAAGTAATAAGTGGAATGACTTTTTCAACTAGCTGCACGATTTGGTGCGAGCTTTCATTTTCTCCTCACATGATTTCAACAAGGCCGTCCTCAAATCCACGCCTAACTCCGTCGTTCCCCGTTAGGACCGCACTCGAGGGTCTGCTATATGTCTGATGTCACTCAACAGTCTCCTTAGCATATGTCCAATCCATCTCCATTTTCTCCCGCATATGTGTTAGACAATAGGTTTATGGTTGGTTCGCCGCCTGACAGAGTCCTTTATTACTTATCCTTCCTGGCAGACCATCCAACC